TCACACAGTGTGTGATTCATTTCATCCTTTTCCTTCAAAAAGGACTCTTTCAAATCCACCTCTTCACGCATCATCCGAAGTTGTCCATCGTTCTCCTGTAGCCAATTTGCCAAATGAGAAGCGTAATAGAAGAGCAATGTCGACCATTCATTGTTTTTAGATACTTCCAGAATTAGCCGAGCTTGAAGCTCTGCATGCTCCAGAACCTCTCTTTCTGTGCATGACAAGCGTTCAAGCAAAGTTGTATTTTCCTTCAAAAGTTTTTGTAAACGATCATCGCGATCAGCTCTAATATTTTTATTTTCGTCAGTCAACAGAGTAATTTTGGCATTTGTCTCCCTTTGGCATCTCTCTTCACTTAGTCTAAGCTCGTTGTATTCCAGAAGCAATGAAGAATAGCAGTCCTTTACTGCTTTAAACTCAGTGTTTAGATCCTCGTTAAGTGATTTATAACGTTCAATTTGAGCGGTAGAGTTATCAAGCTCCTTTCTTAAAAAATCAACAATTTGCTTTTGACTGATCTGCGAATCTTGAAGTTCTGTTATATCTTGTTCTAATAAACGCACATGTTGAGACAAATTGCTGGTTGTTTTATCATAGTCCTGACGCAGGGCTGACAATTCAGCGGACGTTTTCTCAACTTCGGTCTCAAGAAGAGATTTCTCCTTGCGCAAAAGATTTATCCCCGCCTCAAGGTTTTGGTGTTTCCTTTGTAATAGGGAGTTGCCATGAATATTTTCCTTTGCCTCAGCTAAAAGGGCATTCAAATAGAAGTTTCCCCATTGGAAAACGATTTCCTCCCTAGCATGAAATTCCTCTTCATCAAGCGACTGTATCAACAAAAGTTGCTGCAGTCTCCGTTCACAGTCAGTTACCTCATTCTGAAGACGTCCTATAAAGTTCTTTGCCTCAAACCGAGCCTCTTCTAAACTGCGTTTTTCTTCTCGAAGCTCAGCCACAACTTCTATCAGCACATCCTTTTCTTGCATCAAAGCCCTCATCTCTTCTGTGGCCTGTTTCATTTCTAAATCCATCTTGCTTACAAGAGTTTCGTAATGAATATTCTGCTGGGACGCAGAAGAAAAATCCTTCTCCATTCTCGCCAACTTCGCGGCATAATCTTGAGAGGCCTTTTTTAGTTGATTTAACTCCTCCGCCTGTACGTGATTTGTCTCATGTGCATCTTGCAAGCGACGTTGAAGATCGTCATTGCTACTCTTTGTAATAAGCAGTTCATTTCTTACAACCACAACTTGCGCCACCGACTCATCTAGTTTTGTCTGCAGTTCACTCGACTTCGCAACCCATTGGGCGACGACATCGTGAGCCTCTTTTTGTAATGCCTCTACATCGCATTCAATTGTTTCTTTTTGTTCTACTACCTCACTAAGGTGGTGCTTGCACAGAGACAGCTCTCTTTCTAACTGAGCAATACGTTCCTTCATGGCATCCGTAATGCGGTCTTGTTTAGAAGTCATCTGACCTATACCCCCCACTTTAATCAACGCCATAAGAAAGCAACAAAAAATCAAAACAAAAAAAAGCAAACGT